CGCACGATCTGGAACACAGGGTTGGCGGGACGGCGCACAAGAGTGCACATCTCACTTTATGTGTGTGCCTGATAAGTAGCTCATGTTTTGCAAACGGCTCATGGCAGCTGACGGGTCTTGCACCAGCAACGAAGCAAGTCCGCGAAGTCGCACGACACAGGGTTGGCCGGCCGGTGCACAAGCGATGAGCGCCAATCTCGCTTTAAGCAGCGCATTTTCGCGAAGGGTTCATAGAGTGCAACAGCCGACGGGCTGTGCGGGACAGTGCACATCAGTGAGCGGACATCTCGCTTCATGCGCTGATCTGTTCACATGCAGAGCAGAAGCAACAAGTATCGTATGCAAGTGCTTGCAGATGGCCTGCAGTCCTAACTGAGGCAATGGCGCGAAAGCCTCGTCTTTGTTGTGATTTCGGCCTTGGGGCAACAAAGTAAGATTGACACGACCTCATCTCCCAATTTAGGTGGCGCCCAAGCCCTGGGCATAGTGAAAATGCATGGCTTGCCATCACAAAGTTCCTCCCAAGGGATGAGGGATCACACGTCAAGCACGTTGCACCCACACTGATCGACAAACCACCTGTCAGGCTCCATGTTAAGGTCTGACAATTCTGATGCAAACGTGGCGACAGTCCTGTCCACAACCGTGGAGACCATCGTCAGCGGCTGGTTTTTCGCATTGGACAAGCGCACCTCAACCTGTCAGTAACCCGGATCTAAAATTGAAATATCAGGTCTAATAAATCTAATGGCATCAGTGTGTAGTTGCATACAGTCCAATCAATAAGAAGGTCTTTGCGGGGCTGCCGGTGTGAGCCTACACTGTCGAGAACTGGCACCGTGGCAACACTGCTGGGTATGGGGTTTAGGGTCATAACCTAAACTACTCCACAACACTGAAACCCTGAACCGTAAACTCCAAACCGGGGCTCGGCCTGAATAAATTGACAGACACATCTCAAGCAGCGAAGACCCCGCCTCTGGCACTTTGCTGCCTGGTCAAAGTCTTATAAGAGTTTGCTGAGAGTTTGTTTCATTGTAAAGGGTAAATGTAAAGGGTCGTACTGTGTTGCTATGGCTGTAATGTATTCGATACTAACTGGCCGAGACAATCGTCTAGCGGACGTTCTTATTACACACCCGAGTGCATTCTAAGCGCATACATATGTATACATGGAAACACGTATATGTACATTTATGTCAGATATATTGGTGAGTAGATAGCTTGATGAGACATGCTGTCTCTGTATGTGTATGTGTGCTGAAACATGCAGATAAATGATAAATTTTGCATACGTATAATGTATATTTATGTAACTTTGTATACCCCTGCAAACGTGTACATATCTGTAAGTTTGTATACCCATGACGAACTTCCATCCAGCCATCCCGTCATCCATCCATCCATGCGTGAATGTACACACCTACACACAAGCAGACACACTTACATGATTACACACATAAATACCGACATGAGTACGGGTAGGATTGCATGTTTACGCATGCACGCATGCTCACACAAAATTCACACATGTATGTGTGTATACATTCATATGATGCAATACGTACGTACAAACGAACATACATATAGACGTACAGTACATACATACAGGCATACATACATACATATCTGCATACGTACGTACATATAAGCACACATACGTACATACATACATACATACATAAGTACGTACGTACCTACATACATGTATACCCACACACACATACGGGGTGATGGTTTTTCATTGTTCAACACAAGGATCGGCATTATCAAGCACTTACGCAGCAGTTATCGAGAACAGGCCGGGATTATCAGGCGCAATGCAGGGCTTTTCAAGCACATGGAAAGATTTTTCAGACACGTGCAACGGATTCCCTAAACCCTATACTCTACCCTAAACCAAACCTGCACATGTGAATGATAATTCCCGCGCATGTGCTTGATAACTCACGCACATCATCGCGCATCTCGTTGATAAATCGCGATCTTGTCTCTGATAAAACTGGCCTTTATTCCCGAACCATGGCACAATGAACACTCAAGAATTGTATGAGAACACAGCTCCCCATAAATAGCTACACGTATACAGCCAGACATACATACATACATACATACATACATACATACATACATATGCGATCACACCGACGTAATTGTCAGTCTCCAAACACATACACACATACATACACGCATACATGTGTACATACGTACATGATCATACATGCATGCATGCATGCATGCATGCATATGCATATGCATGCACGCACACGCACATAATCGCACAGACATCTGTAACATGCGGATACATGGCAATCCAATGTGCACGGTAAATTTTGCTTCCATACACGCCTACGGTTGATCACGCTCTTCCAGGCACTGACATGGTGTCACATTTTCATTGAGTACCTGAGTACCCGAGATGTTGCCGTGCATCTGCATGGGCTGATGCTTGTGTTTATCACATGTGAAGTTATGTGCGCAAAGCTTGAGCATCGTTGTTGGCATCATAATATCTTCGCAGCTGAAACGTGTCTCACTCGGAGCTGCATGTGCTGCCCTACATGCCTAGATGCTACACTTCAATCAATAGATCTCGTGTTCTTACATACACACACACATTTGCGGCTCATGTACTGCTGCTTACTATTATGGATGGATCTGTATTACCTGCGGTATGCTTTTGTGATCTTGTTTGCATGTACCTGCTAGGTGCGCAAGATTGCGCTTGCCATACATGATATTGGTGGATATCCTCGTCTCCTTGCGTTTTCGCCGTGCCAGCATTGGACCGTTAAAGCAAGGAGCCCGAGAAACCGTTCACAACCAGTTTGATTGCCTTTACTGCAAGCAAGCGGAAGCGACCGAACCAAATGGACGAACAACCAACTCGCAGCGGTTTCGTCGAACCTTCCCGAAATGGATCAGGCCACTTCGACTCCACCTGGAATTCAGCAGATGAGATGGAAAGAAAACGAAACACAACCGGCCCACCACAAGTTCTCGCCTGTCTCATTGCAACGAAGGCTAACAGAGGTGTAGCTGGCTCGCAGGCTAAACTGTCAACAGCTTCACCCTGCCTGGCAAAAGATATCTCCGTTCACCTTCGTCACGAGGAAGTTGTCTTCCTGTCAGAATCACGGCCATGCCTTACGAGGCTTGCTTCCTGTCTTGCTTTATTGTGAGTGAATGATGTGAGGGCCGATCGGTAATTGGTGTGCCGGGTCACTTCAAACGGCAATCGACGTGAGAACAGTTCGGCTGAAGGACGACAAGTAATCAAGAAGTTGCCTTCACTCTCGACTGCGGTGCTCTTACCACCTCGAAGCTGATTAATTGCCTCCCGCTCCTCGAAGCCTCTGCCTCACCCTCTTCCTCACTCAGAACCTTTGTTCGGGGTGTTTCTGTCGTGCTCGGTCGCCCTCCCGCCCATGTTACGACAGGGATCTTGCTATCGCTGGGTGAGTTGGACACGAAATCTAAATCGGAGGGCTCCTGCCATGTTTTGGGATTCAAGAAAGCACCTGCATAACAGTCTGCAGCTCTCTGGATTCCTCTTGGCTCCACGCCGCCGTCCCAAGTTGACAGCTTGTGTTGCTAAGGCCCTATAGGCCTAAGAGTGCAAGCACGCTCCTTGTGGGTTTATGGCGAGTCATGAGTTGTTTTGCAGTGCATCAAGTAGGTTTGCATTGAGTTCTGCTCCTGTTTCTCAACAATTCCACTATTTCCCGAGCGGTTTGTAACATTTTTCTCGAATGCTCTAGTCCCACGGCTTGCTCCTGTTTCTCAAAAGTTTGCGCCCTACTTCTCGAATGCTCTAGTCCCTTTCAACACTCGATGCCAGCTTTGCCTGCCTTCGAGTCGAAAGGCAACTGCAGAATCATGCGCTCCTCCTTCTTCACCACGAGCTGCACAGACAGGCTGAATGGAAAGTGAACACTACTACGATCGGTCAGACCTTTGAACTTCCTTTTCCATGCGGATCTAAGACATTCTAAGACTCAAAGCCCCAGGGCCCAAAGCAGGCAAACGGCTTCAACGCGAGTCAGGTGTGGCCTGAGGTGTCAGAGGTGTCAACAGCTCGTCTTTGTCCTGCTGCTGTCAGCACACAGCGGAACAGTATACGACAAGCAAGAACACTTAGCTGCAAAGCGCAGCCGTGGCGAGAGAGACGTTTTCACATGACTTGTCAGACAAACTTGCACTGTCCTCGCGAAAGAAACCAAATGCCTCAACACAGAAAGTCGGGATCGTGCACGCGGCAAGATTCCACAAATCCTTCCTAAGTCGGAAGCCACCTGTCGAATGCTCTTTATCTACCCTGTAAAGTATGGGTTGCCTTTTCGTCCCATGCTCAAGGCCACGGAATGATCGGGCACATGACAACAATAAGAAACGTGTGCATGTGTCTTCCAAGGTCGTATATACACACAGTACCCAAACTTTCGCAGTATGTTTCCAACCTAAAGAACCGTGCTAGACAAGAAGTATGCATGCAATATCAAACATAGGGACGCAAGAATCCTGCACCCTGCACACTGACATGCGGGCATGCTTATCTCAAGTTTGACCTCGATAGACAGATAGATGACTGTTCTGAGACGGCAGCACACAGCATGGAAGCGATGGCGCCAACCAGCACCTGGTGACAGAAACTCTAAACCCTAAAAACCTTTAAACTCGTACAGAACGCGAAGAGTATGCCTTGTCCATCCGTCTATCTGTCAATGTCTCTGCCTCGCTAGATATGTTTTTGTTGTTATCATTGTTGTTCTTACCAACAAATGGTCCGTACCATTACGACTATGTTTGTTGCTTTTACTACGTTTGCTCTCACTCTCACTCGCACTCCTACTCATTGCTACTACTGCTAAAACTATGGTGAGTGCTGTTACTACTACATACATGTGCACAGTGTGTACATGTGTGTACATCTGTACACACACACACATATGTTTGTGCATGTATTGAAACGGACAAATACACATACAGATACATACACACACACACACACGCATCGTAATAACGAATATCCAGTTATGACTCACACACCTGAGGATCACCACAACAGAAAGGGAGATCATGAGCCATGAGATATACAGCATTGACATAACCTACAGTATGTCGGGATGACTTGCGGAGTCCTAGAAGGCACGGTGCACGGGAGCAGCATGCGATTCCTAGTCCTACGACAGAGACTGTGTGACTTAAGGAAACTCGGAGAATGCAGCCGGCTGATCTCGATGCTGCAACGGGCTGTCTACGAAGCTCATTAGCTCCGCCAAGCCACGATGAGGAGGAATGTGAGACGCAGCTGGTCTGTGTAGCAGGCCTCGCCGTCAAGGGAAGGCATTCATCAGCTACCGTACTGACTGCACAACACCGTAAGTTAAGAGCATCGAACCTGTGAGTGCCTCAGCTCAATGACTCATAACAGTCATAACACCTGCGAGATGAGATCAATCTCCCCACAGCTTTCCACCTCTCCCGGAGCGCAGCTGCTGGAAGCAGTCTGCAGAAGCCATGCGCCCCGCATATTCCAAGAGGCCTTTCATCTCAAGGACCCAAAGATTAGCTTAACCGAACATGGCACGCTTGGCAGCTTAGCAGGCATGATCTTCTGCATGGTCTTCGCCCACGGAACCCCTCACAACCTGCGGCTTCTCCACGTCTAAGCTCGCGATGGCCATGCCCAGGGCATCCTGCACGACATGCCGGGAGAGAAATTCAGCTAGAAAGCCAAAGGAGGGGAGCGCCAGAGGGGAGGAGAGATCAGCAAAGCTCACAACGGCACTCTCATGGCTAGCAGACGCAGGCAGATTGCAGACAGACTCCTTGAGCATGGCCTCCGGGGCCCCCAGGCCCTGGCAGAACAAACTGAGGTTTTGTGAAGGCCTGAACTCGGAATCTCAAGATCTGGACGAGGGAATCCGTGCCAGCCTCCCCCGAAACGGGGCTCGAATCGGTTCAGTTCGCTATCCCTGAGCCAAAGACAGCATCGGGCGGTTTCAGCGCAAAGGCCTACCAGCGTCAAACATGGCATTAAGAGTTCTTGAGCGGAAAGTGTTGAACTCTTTCCCCGGAAGACACCGGATGAGCACAGCACAGCAAGCTCCACTTTTCATAGTCGAGCTGCCGACTGTGATGCCGTGTGAGATGCCACAAGGGCTCGGGGCAGCTGGAGCTGGCGGCAGCCGAGAAGCTGAAGCACCCAACAGCAACGCCCTCACGCTTTCTTCTGTCGCTTGGTGGAGTTGGAAGTTGAAGCTCCGGCTTTCCTCCGTGTGCACAAGACCCCGAAATCATGCTGTCACCTGCAAGTCGGACAAGCAAAGCTATCACGAGCCCGTCCTCTTCTTCGAGCCGTTCTGGACCTGCGATTGTCAGCCATCCGCGGAAAACGCCCTCACAGAATCTCATGCCAATAGTGGTCAAGCCTCGTGGGCTGGGTACATGTTCTCGAACTCCTGTCCACAGGAGGCTGACTGACGAACCACATTGCATGCGTCTCCCTTCTGTTTCTGCGCAGGCATTGGAACTCCGCAAAGGAGCACCGCTCCGTTCAGAGGGCAGTCAGAACTGTCTCATGCTGCGGTAAGCGACGGAAACTATTTTGCGGCTAAGGGGGCGGACAGCTTGGCAGCTTCAGAATAGCAGACACAAGCTCAGCAAAACCCAACTTGTAGAAACCGAAACACGAAAATCGCTTGCCGAATGTGCTATTGGAGTCGAGCTTTGAGGCTTGGCGTTTGGATGCTATGTACTGCTAACCCATGCGAATTGGCTATACTACAGTATAGTTCTATTTGTAACCCCCTGAACTTCAGCCATAGCAGGCAGACTCGGCAATGGTGATGCTGTCGCCGTCACTACCGATGGAGTCTGCTATGTGTGGTGCCCCCCCAACCCCGGCCCAGCAGGCGAACCTCAATAAATGTCATGGGTTTAAGAGTGCCAGATTATGCTCAAAGTGAAGGGCCGATTCGAGACGAGTTCTTTGCGATGCTCTCGAAGAGCCAATATCTGCACCGCAGTGGAAGGAACGGAAATGCAACGCCGGGGCCGCAGCAGGAACGATACAGAACTTAGCCTTGCAAGGAACCAGGATTACTCCTGAAGAGCTCTGGCTTTGTACAGGTATGGTACTAGGTTACAAGGTCTCAGGTACGTTTGCGGGAAGCCGTTAGAGCCGTTCGCAGTTTTTGGGCTTCAATACGCCGGGGGCCCCTAGTGAAGGACTACTGTAACTTCCCAGTTATGGGCATTGCTGCGGGTCTTTTGTCGAATATTCTCCAAAAGAACGCTGCAGCGCAGCATTTGATCGACATGAGCAGCAGCGGTCCTTCACGTTGAACTTCCTCTTACAGCCCTCGTAGTTCCTCTGCCACAGGACCATGCCGAGAGGCAGTTCATGCAGCTAGGCAGCTAGGCACTTCTTCTGCACTGAAATGACAGTAGAATGGCACAGTACTTATGCCTTATGCTTGGACTCGTGGAGACGTCCAGGACACTCGCAACCAGAGGCTGCAGGCCAGGCACATGTATCGAACCTTTCCAAAGATCTTGCGCTCCGGCCATCCCATGTCATGCCTCCCAGAATCAGGCACAACACATCCGAGATTCTCCGAGCCACTCTTGGGGGCAGGGCCAAGGCCCCGACACTCCACAGATGGACCACATGCAGCCCACGTAGCCATTCGGCTCGCGCCTCGGAAAGTCTCGGGCATCGGGCTTTTGAACGGAGACGCTTAGCATCGCTTGGCGACGTAGACTCAGGAGTCAGCCCATCCAGATTGTAGCGGTCGTTGAGGTAGATGGCTGTAGCCAAAGCTGTGGCCGGGTCCTTGCTCCACTCCAACACCTGCTCACTGGAGTGGAATTCTGTAGCTTCCTCCTGTCCCTGCCCGGGCCAGTAGCTCACAATTTCAGCCATTTCAGCCCCGACTGTACGGAACGGCCGTCAGTCCGAGTACTGATATGATTCTCCAGCAGACTCTGTATAGAAATAGGAATGTCACTCACTGCACTGGCCTTCTTTGCCCAGTACATACGCAGGAAGCCATGCATCTTGCCTGAAGCAGCAATGCACAAGCAGGCGAAGAGGTGTTTCAACTCATCTCAGAGTCCGCGGTGTACGGCTGAAACTTCTTTGCAGGCTTGACACGGAGCCTACCACGGTTGTGGTACAGAGAATCCCTGACCTTTAGCAGGTCCTGAAGATTCGGAGGGCTTCCAAGCATCTTGTCTTGCGGCTTCATGAATAATGAAGGCCAGGAGCCAGCATGCAATGTGCAACTTAGAAACAAAAGCTGCTACCAGAAAGAGTGACATCATGCGGTCACCAGCAGACTCGGCAGTGGGTCGACTGAAGCGTTGCCGAGCTTGTGACCCTCAGATACCATTTGGCGTTGAGCCCTTGGCAATCACATTCCACGAGAGGCGACCCAAACTTGTGGGTGATGTATGCCCCGTGTCATGGCAAGCGTGGCTGGCTTGGAACATGTGTACTCAAAAGATTCAGAAAGCCTGCTCATTGCACGGTTGCAGCTAGAAGAGGCTTTGGGCCTGTGCGGGAGGGGGGGGGGGGNNGGGGGGGGGGGGGGGGGGGGCAGCCACCACTGAGGAATCAACGCAGCTGATTCCGAGGACATGACGCATTCCAAAGCTCGTCGTGTGTTTGGGCCTTCGCACAACGCATGCGAGCGACGCATCTTGCAGCAAGAGGCTCTCCCAATCGTGCAAAAAATCCCTGGGTCCTGCCTTCTCCAGCTGTGACCTGCTGTAGACATACTCCCGCTTGTCCTGAGCTCGCTACTCCGCTTCTCTTAGGCTCAGCGGAGCAATGGATCGTGTAAACAAAACACTTCTTGAGCTCACTGATTCTTGCCTGTTCTGCATGAAGATTCGCAAGGAAAAGCCCCGTTGCATGTGGCAGTCCTTGCTGTGTTTCTTGAGCGTCTCGACCTGGCGGCTCAGGTGCTTTGGAACCCTCAGAGCCATTGTATTTCAGAGGAAAATCTCAAAGCTCGGAAGATTCGTAGCACAAACGCAAGACTTAGCCGGCATCACTGCCCAGGCCGAAGCACCCTCCAGGGCAGAGTTTCTGTTGTTCTCGGCTCGACTATGGCATGAGAATGATACCGTGCTTCGTACTAGAGATCGGCTACCAGCATGATCTTACGGCTATCCTGCCGCAGCAGCTCGATCCACAGCTCGTTAAAATTGGCTAACATGCTAATGTCATCCGCGCAAGTCCCACATGTCATCCTCTGCTTCGACACCTGTCCTTCAGGGAGTCATAGTTCTGGTTGTACCAGCAGAAATTGTCGGCGAGCTCGCGCCGCACAATGGACTGGCCGCAGATTCAGACACAGCAAGAGGACTGGTGAGAGGAGTCATTATCGAGGATCCAACTGTTTAGGGTCTATCAAAGTGCCTTACTCTGTGAAACTCGGCTGTAAACTGGAGACTGTCCGAGCTCCAACCTTCAGAAGCTTCGGGCAAATTTATATGGATGATGCCTGCCTCCTCGAGAAAGTCGTCGGCACCAGCCTTGGACGCACCTTTGGCGGCCTGTGCGAGAGACCGGGCATGCGCATGTGGACGCGATCTACTTGTCTTTGTAAGTTTGTAAACTTGGAAAAAAATATGTCTATGACCATGACCATGGCAATTATTATTAGCACTAGTGCAGTAGTATGATGACTTTGCTTATTGCTGACACCGTCGTGGTGTGTGTATGTACATGGCTATGACGTACGACATGAAGATAAAGGCTTTTCATATGTAGCAGATCGTTCCGTGTTTGTAAGGACATTGACAAACTACAAGCAATCCCGAGACATGTCAAGACCAACGTAACGGATGAGTCTGGAGTGAATCGCAAAATGCCCTCTGAGCCTGCCTTCTTGACGACCAGGGCGCAGCGCTGCGCGGAAATCTGGCCAAACCTTGTTGCTGTGAAGGGGAGTCTGCTTTTGCAGTTTCCCCAGAAAATCGGAGTCCCGTGGTAGCCCAGGAGATGGCCGGGAAAGGAATAGATCCCAAGGGCATGCTCGCAGAGCTTAGCATCAGGCTTAATCCATGGAGAAAGGCCAGATAGGGCCTCTCATCAGCACACGAATGCATTTTTCAAGAACCTGCAAGCAGAAGTTGTGCCGCTAGGAGGTTCCGATCGAGCTCGACGGCTGTCGCTGTGAGTCACATCCGTGCATGATACTCAAGCAGCTTAACTCTAGACCTTCACGTCTGGAGTGGCTTTGCAGTTTGTGCCAGCCAGTGGCCAGTGCCATGCCCGCCTGCTTCGTGGGATCGTTGCGCTGCTTTCCGAATATGGTAAGGCGCTTTCGCACAAACTCCTCGCTGATACAGCAGATCCGAGCACAGCTTCTTGGCGCGCCGCTTGCCCCAGATGCAAAAGAAAGCCCAGAAGATGAATAGCAGAAAGCCACTGAAACTCCAGTGTAGACTCACTTCGACTGCTTCGACTTGCATAATCGCGGGCTCTTGGACTGCCAAGACAGAAGCAACGACTTCCCCGAAAAACATGCCGTGGGCTGCACGCCGGAATAGCTGTCAGCGGCTTACAACGATAGTTGCTTTGCAGTTTCCCCTGAGATGGTTGACCTGTTCAACTCGACGGTTACGTCGGATCCTCGAGGCGCCGCCTGCCCGCTGCAGCTCCAGGGGTGAAGAGCTCCTGTTCCAGAAGGTACTGCAGAGGCAGCTTGCCGAAGACAGGAAACTTCAGCAAATTCAATGAAGCGTTTAACGGAATCGACGTCGTTCCACAACAGACAAGTCTGGTCTGCCCGAGACAGATTCCCACCTTGCTCACGGGGCCCACGGTGCGGTCCACCTGCAGCGACTTCAGCGCCGCAGCAACATCGAAGCCTCTGCCGGCAGCTCTTCGATCAAGTCTGCGCCGTGCGGCAAAGTTCAATGCAAGTAGCTGCTCAGTAGGCCTTAGTTTTCCTGACGGAACTCGGCCTGGGACTCCAGTGTAACCTCGATGCCGGAGAAGACAACTCTCAGCTGTGTCTTGAATCTTCTTTGAGCAGGTAGCACTGAGAGTCACTGAGAGTAGGATGTCTCCAGCAGCAGACCACAAAGCTTAGCCTCGTGATCACACCAAATCTGCAGAGCAATTGGTGAGCGCCTCGCATCTCATGCGAGGTAATGAATTGCCCTGTAGGCGAACCGGCTTCGGTATCGATCTCAGGACAGCTGCTTTGCAGCGGGAGCCGGTGCTAGCCGCGAGAACAATGAGAAGCACACAAATGGTGGGAAGATAAAGGATTACACCATCGCCTGCGACAATAGGCTGAGCGAACTTGCACACAAAGAAAACCGTCTTACAACTCTATGCTTGTAAAAGCCTGTCCTATCAGTCCTCTTGCTGCGCATGGAAGGAGGCTAAACTAACTTGTAAGTACACATGGGCACCGTCTCATTGCATATCTTCCCACGGCCGGTGGCGGGCTTGCCACACCCACACAAATTCAGCGATTGCTTGGCCATGCAAAGGGTACCATGGAGAGCGGCTTTTGAACACATTACTCGATCCAGTCATATTGCGAACTACCAGGAACCACCGTCCTCAAGGCAAAATCGTATCCAGATCATGACCACCACCATCCAAGAAGAACGCAAACGACAACGACGACGACGCCGACGACCACGACGACGGCAAGAACGACAGAAACTCAAAACAAAAAAGAACAACAACGACAAGAACAACAACGACGACGACGATAACGACGAC